ATAATTCTTTGATCATTTCGATATCTTGCATGGAAAATCCAAGAGGCATTCCATTTGAAAATGATCTCTCAAATATACGATGATAATGGCTGTGAAGTTTTCTATCCTTTGTATCTACCAGAATACAATAATGATATTACATATGAAATACCTTACTATGAAATCCCCTGTCAGGAGAAACAGAGTGAAAAGGAAAGGGTTATGATCGATACACGTGAAGAGAAAATGAAAAGTTACGAAAGAGAATCGAGATTCTTGAAAATGATATTGAGAAAAAGGACAAGAATAATGATAAGCAGGCCGATTATATTGTTACTCTTCGGAATAAGTTAAAAGATTATGAAAATAAAATTGATAAATTGAGAATGACCTTGGATAACGAACGAAGAAATTTCGGGTTTTTACAAGGAGAATGTGATCGCAAAGAACGAATTATTAAAAGATTTCAATGGGAGAAGCATCAAAAGGACCCAGTAATAAAAAAGTTTATGAAGATAATATTAAGTTTAAGGAACGAGGATCTAATAATAAAGAAGTTTATGAAGAGAATGTAAAGTTGAAAGAAGAGATTTATTTTCTCAAGGAAACAATTTCTGGAATAGAAGAGGGGAACAAGAGAAAAAGAGAAACAGATTCTTGGGTTTCAGATTATGGCCATGATTACGAGATAGATAATCGTAAGAAAATTAAAGAGTAATCTTTAAATTTATCTATATATTTTATATTTGTATACTATGTATCATGTGATCTCTTCTAAAAGTATAAATAAATAAATATTTTATCTTTCATAAAACTATATAAACATGGATCGATTAACACCTGAGACAGAACAAAATATTTTTATTATGATTCATAACCCATTATCTATTATATGTGCTTCACGAATATGGTATAATATAAGTCGTAATCATACCACTCGTGCAAAGTGGCTGATCTTCTACCACGGAAGGTCACATGCATTATTTAACGCAGTGAAGAAAGGTCCAAAGTTTTTAACATATGATCAACTTGAAGCTTTGTTTTCTTTAAATATTCTTCCATCACGGTATTTTGTCCAGCGTCTAATGTTAGCATTCGGACAGGTAGATTGTGATCTTGTTGACATGAAGATAAGAAATGAAATATTAGATCATGACATTTCTCTAATGGGAAAAACTAAAAGTTCCTGGGCTGAAGATATAGATTTTAATGTTCTTAATTGCATATTAATGAAAGCTCATGAGCTTTATGGTAAAGAGAATCTAAAGATTAGGGGAAATGATATGGAATTGTTCCATTTCCTATTCGGAGGACCTCAAAATGTGACTGATGCGAAGATTATTCTAGAAAACAACTATGATAAGATCTCTGAGCTTATTAGTATATATAGATTTACTCCATTTTCCAGAAGACCAAATTCCTCAGGTGGAACTGCCGAGTCATATCCATCACTAGACAGATATGAAAATAATCGACAGATGAATATTATAGCACGAGCTATCTTATTAAGACACGATCTTGTCAAAGTATAGGAAAGTATAGGGTATGGAGATATAATTACAGATACCAATGACCTTGTACTCCAGGGTCAATTTCTTCTATGCTATCCACCCGGTTCAACATTTGATTGTGGTATAGATATTATCTTTGATAAGGTTAATTATCTGTACAAACTTGGATATAGACTTAATATACCTTTATTTAGTGAAATAGTATTACTATTTATGAAATTTATTGATTCGATTGGAAATGATATACTCCAAATATGTTCTAAACTAATGAATCGTACTGCAGAAGACGTATTATTAGATTTTTTAAGATTAAGCATATTTTCAGAACGAGATTTTATATTGGCACAGAATTTCTATATAAGTAAATATATATATGTTAAGGAAGCATTTATAAACAGTTTAAGACAACATCTCTGCTTCCTTTTTCAGAAACTAGAAATTATATTAAGAAGCACATATGAAAAGGGAGATATTAATATCCAATTAAAAGAGATTTTACCATTTAAGAAGAGCTTTCTAAAGTGGATATTGACAACGTATAACACCACATCAAACGTTGTTAATGAATACTTTAATTTTATTCTACATCTACGAGTTATCATCGATATATTTGAGAGATCATTTTCAAATGGAATGCCTCTTGGATTTTCCATGCAAGATATCGAAATGATCAAAGAATTAT